GGCCCCAAAGGTGGAAAATGACTAGAGGGATATTATAAGAAAATTTCAGCATCTGATAAGGAGTTGACTCTTTAAAATCCTTCCTGGGCAGGTGGCAGGTGCGATCGTGGCTGAGCTGCGTACCAGTTTTGGAGTGTAACTCTGAACCTTCTGGCATTCATTTTCCACACCATTAGCAACCTTGCTCTACCTGGAGCATGATCTTAAAGCAACTGAAACCTCCCATGAGCATCCCAGAGCTCCCTGGGCATGGCCAGGTCCTCTAATCATCTCGCCCTTGTCACATGCAGCCTCCTTGCCCAACAGGGAGTTCTCATGTCTTCCTCCACAAGGCCTCCTGCTCTTTCAAGCCAAGTTCAAGGACATCCTCCCCTGCCGATGCTTCTTTCATTACCCCAGCCAGAGCAAGGCCTCCACTGTGTGCTTCCCACATTCGGCCCACGTCTGTGCGTGAACCCCTGCGACACGTATTCAGCCTTAGGTTTCCAGTTCTCTCCCACAAAACCATAGACGGTGGCTATCTCTCATTCAGCCCCAGATCCTGACTTCCTGGCACTTTGTGGGGACTGCCTCGAAGTTTTTAAATGAATGACCCTACCAGACCGCAACAGGGTTAGGGTTTTACTGCTGTCACGTAGCTGCTGCTTGAGACTATCTGTCTCTCTTTAGAGAATGTAACTTTTTAAAAATCTCTATTTGATATGCCTTCCTTAAGCAATAATGTGCTGCCACTTACATCTAGAACTCTTTGATTCTCAAACTTAAGCAGTCATCAGCATTCCCTGCGGGGCTTGTTAAGACGCAGACTTCAGCGAGCCTGAGTCCGTGAGTGTGGGACGAGGTTCGAGAACGTTCACTCCCCACAAGTTCCCAGGGGACACTGCGGAGGCTGGCTGGGGCCCACGTGGAGAACCGCTGTCAGAGACTTCATGTACCAGGATGCCACACTCAGGCTGCCTCTGAGAGCTCCCATTGTTTCTTTTGTTTTCAGAATCCGCAGAACATGTGTGCTCTATTTCAGTCCGCCAATGTATGGTTCAAATTCTGTTTTTTAGTAATAAGTCTTGGAAACAGAAATGTATCTTGTTGTGAAAATGCTACCCCCCATTCAACAAAGGCCTAACGCCACAGCACTGGAATTGCACTCTGAGCTCTTCATTTGCTCGGAACAGCAGTAAGTGATTTGACGTACTAGCGGCAGCCCATGGAGGGGGCAGAGGCTCTGACAGTCGGAAATCCAGTGAGCATGCGCACAGTGGGCTTCCCAGTGAGCTCGGAGTAAGTGGAGGAATGTCTTTTGGGGAATGTACTTTATCTAGAATGTAGACGGTATAATGAAACGTGAATGAATATAAACCTTGCTGTTAAAAAATTCCTTTTCATGAACTGCGACATAGATAAATTGTAGATTTAAATGAGGGGGACCTCAGACTCCAGGCAGCTGGGGAGGGAAGAAGATGGAAAGAAGGAAATGAGTTTTGAATATCCTTGACTAGTGGCCTTTCTCTACGGTGGGTGCCGATAGCTTTTCTTCTGGAATACGCTGCTGCTCCCCCAGGCGAAGATGGTGAAGAATGGAGGGAGGAGGAGATACAGACAGATGAATTTGCTTAAAAGGGGTGGGAAGTGCATGCAGCGATTAGACAATCCCAATTATGGGATCCCTTCAGCCACTCAGCACCGAATCAAAATTCCCTAACCTGGGGAAACTCAGGCCCCTTCCAAACCTGTTTCCCAGTGTTTCAGGCCACTGTCTTTCTCAGTCTTAACCTCATAGGTCGATACGCCAAAACATTACAGATACATTTCATTAAGGAGGAGGCTGGCCAGTCCCCCCAGCAGCAGCAGATAATGTGCACTTGCTCTTCAGGTCCTCAAACGGTTGGGACCAGTGTCCCTACCTGAATGGTACTCCCTGGAGATGTGTAACACAGACATACTGATGATCTTGGAGTCAGTCAAGAGACTAGGGAGCCGACATACTGGTCTTTGTTTCCTACTCTTGTTTTTGGTCAAAACTCATTTGCTGGAAAGAATCAGAAGCCCATTGTGCTAGCTCATGGAAAAGGATTACCCGTGCGGATACAATAGGCAATGTTTTAGACATCTGGTTACAGAAGTGAAATATAGTTAGGGAAAGGACTGCCATGTTTAGTTCCACAAGTTGTGCACTGCACAATCCCAAAGGCACTGTTTTCATGGCCTATGATGTGCATGGTGACCTCTGGGGTTACACAACGTGATGGCATTGAATATAGAGATCTGAAGAGCCAGGGACTGAGGTCCTGTTCTCCATCTATCATATTTAGAGTGATCACTCTTATTTCTGCTTATTTTTGTATGTTTGCCCCATTCCTCTTTCTTAGCCATCTTCTTTTGTGCATTCCTCCTGTGTGTGGCCCACATGGCTGCCCTTCACATTCACTCTCTACTTTGTGACTTTGCCATCCCAGTACCTGCTATTGACCGTCAAATGTCTCCATCTCTTATTTCAAATTCTTGGGAGGGAGGGTTTGATTGGCGCTTGACTTTGCCTGATTTGCAGAGCTTGTGCCAGGTATCCACTGCACTTCTGGTTCACTTGGCTGTGCCCAGTGGAGAGTAGATGGGATGGAGGTGGGGAGACCTTAGGCCTCTGGGAATAACACCTGTTTAGGGTGTTGGGGGCTCTGGGTGAAGCAAGATCCCCTGAGAAGGAGGCAGGGGTGGGCAGGCTCTCCAACGTGTGTGTAATACAAGCTCCATTCAATGTGCTCCTCAAACCAACTCTGCTTTGCATTTGGGTCCTGGGTGGCTGGGGCTGAACAGAACTAATTCTCTCCTGGGGGACCTCGGGGTGCTCCTGAAGCTGCTCCTGGTCTTGCCTTCCTGGCCTTGTCTCCTGCCGTGTCTCTGAACTTGCTGACATCGGACACACCTTCTCCCCACCAGAGCTTCAGCTCCTGGCAGGCTCTGCACGGTGGCCTGTTGTCTCAGCTCTTCCTGCTTCCTGTCTGGAAGCTCTAGGCACCGTATGCCTCAGGCCGGTGTTTGTGGGGTGCCTGGATGGAACAAGACGCTCCAACCAAGTGGTTATGCAAGAGTTAAATTGGCATCTGCCGCGGAGTTTAACACGTCAGTGTAGGACTTTTTATCTTCCTCCCAAACCTGCTCCTCTGCAGCTGCTCTCATTCACTTAATGGCAACTCAGGACTTGCAGCTGCTCAGTCTAAAAACCCCGGAGTCCTCCTCCTTTCTCTGTGCTTGCACACCACAGCTGACCTCTCAGTGACAGCAATACTTGGCTGCACCCTCCCGGCACGTAGCAGTCCTGCCTCATCCACCAGGGATACGTTCCAAGCCCCCCAGTGGATGCCCGAAACCTTGGATAGTGACAAACCCTATATATGCACTATGCTTTTCCCTATGACAAAGTCTAATTTATAAATTAGGCACAGTAAGAGATCAACAACAATGGCTAATGACAAAATAGAACAATTATAACAATATACTGTCATACAAGTTATGTGAGAGTGGGTTCTCTCTTTCTCTCAAAATATCTTACTGTCCTGTGCTCACCCTTCTTCTTGAGATAAATCGAGAAGATGAAACGCCCACGTGATGAGATGAAGCGAGGTGAATGACGCAGGCATCCTGACGTAGTGTTAGGCCGACGTTGACCTTGAATACAAGCACTGCGATATCATGACAGTCGGTTTTGATAACTGAAACTTCAGCCACTAAGTGACTAGTGGGAAGGTGGTGTAGACAGCATGGATATGTTGAATAAAGGGATAATTCACATCCCAGGTGGGACAGAGCATGAGATTTTATCATGCTGCTCAGAATGGTGTGCAATTTAATACTTATGAAATGTTTTTTTTTTTTAACTAAACCACAGAAAGCAAAACCGTGGATAATGGGGGACTACTGTCTCCCGAATCCAGTCGCTTCTTACCACACACACTGCTACCACCCTGGTCCAAGCCACACCCTTCTTTTGCCTGGGCTGTTGCGGTAGCCTTCTAACCTTGCTGCTGTTTCTATGACCGTGCCCTTCCTTTTGCCCTTAACATGCAGCACACGTGCGCAGAGGTTAACATGTGGGCCAGACCCTGTCCTCACAACCCTGCAAGAGTCCCCTTTCATCAGAGTCCACGCAATGGCCTTCAAGTTCCTGCAGAATTTGGACTCAAGATCTCTCTGCAGTTTCCTTGTCCACTCTTCTCACCCACTCTCTCCTGGCCACGGTGGCTCCCCGGTGGCCCCCCAACACAGCAGGCAGACTCCCCTCCCAGCCTGTCCCTCTGCCTGGAATTCTCTCCCTCCCAAAGCTAATGGTTTACTGACTCAACATCTCCAGGCCTTCCCTCTCCTGTCACCTTCTGTGGCTGTGCTCGATTTCCTTAGTACCTTCTAACACCCTGTGCCGTTTACTTGCTATTTTATTCAGTCTCTGTCTCCTCCTACCAGAAAGCAAGCTCCAGGTAGCAGCATTTTTGTGTATTTGGTGTTCTTAGCACCAAGAGTACTGCCTGGCACTAAACGCTATGTGTTGCAGGAGCGAATCTAGAAAATCTAGAAACACGAATAAGTGCATCTGGAAACATATAACTCTCCTAACACAATAATGAAATTGACTTATGGAGAAAACATCAGACACAAACATATATTACACATACATGTCAACATCTGTTGTTTTCTTAATTCTTTAAAAAATTTTTTTTCTCTTGGGCAGAAAGCTTGAATGCAGACTGAGTTCCAATCCTGGAACAAGGAGTGGCCACACTCCTTGTTCCTCCAAGCATGGCTCCCCTGCCAGGGAACCCCACTGGGGAGAGAGGGTCCTTGCCCCTGCTCTGTCACAGGGCAGGGGAAACCCTTGCTGACAGAGAGGGGACACAGAGTTTCGCTCCAGGCTGGAGCTGAAGGAAGGAGCTTTTCCCTTCGAAGACCCAGGCTCCCTGGTGGCTTGACCTCCCTGCCCAGAAGACCGGCGTGGGACGCAGGTCCAAGCTGCAGCTGGCAGGCAGAGCCGCATGCCCCGGGAGACATGAAAAGCCGCCCCCAGCCCAGAGGGAAGTTTGCAGCGCTGGAGTGCCCGAGTGTCGCCGGCAGATGGCACTGTGGTCGTTTCCAAGAGGGAGCTGGGGCTCTGGAAACGCGACTCCAAATGGCAGGAACAGCTGCGCCGCGAACCCTGCGGGGAGCGTCAGGAAACGTTAACCCCCGGTGGGGTGGGGAGGCCGGGCCTGGGGGAAGGGCAGGGACAGGGGACACAGCAAGGAACGAGGGCAGGGCACTGGAGGGCCCCCAACGGCCGGGCCGGCGTCCTTCTCTGGCGGGGTGGAGAGCTTTGCTGGCCTGGGCTTTCCAGAGTCAGATGCACCTGGGAGAGATGGCGGGGGGGGGGGGGGGGGGGGGGGGGGGGGGGGGGGGGGGTGGGAGCGGGGCGAGAGTGCGATTTGCCGCGTTCTCCGTCTACACCCACTTGGGGTGGTTATTTCAAGCGTGTGCTTCATCCGCCCTTGAGAGCCAAGACCCAGTCTTGCTCATCTTTCAGTTTGCCATGGCGCCTGGCGTGCGCGGAGCCCTGCAGAGCAGTCGTTGGGTGAACACGTGAGTGATTGAGGGGGGGAATGCAGCTTGGATTTGGGATGGGGAAGAGATTTGTTTTTCAAGAAAAAAAAAAAAGAAAAAGAAAAACAAACACAAAAACTAAATTCAAGTGTCTTCCTACATTTCTCTCCAGATTACAGCTGCCCTGACGGGTATCACCAAACTATCAGCCCTCGACTGTTTGCAAAGGGCTGTCCCCCAGGTGTCCCTGTCTGTCCGTCTGTCCATCCCTTCTCTCCTAATTTCCTCACATCCTTAATTCTCTCTCCCCTGTAGCAACTCTTCTCTGTCACATTCGTTCTTGAATTAGGAGGTGATATCCCAACTAGATGGGGGCATTTGAGGGCATCACTTTGTGTCACCTGAGCGATGCCACAGCCATCATGGTCCCTAACCCTCCCCTGGGCTCTTTCGGGAAGATATGATTGGGGCAGATTGTGTTCAAATGGCCACACTGACACATGCCCCCTCCCACGCCCGTCTCACAGTGTGACGTTGACAGTCCTACACTGCGCGGTCGGGTCTAGGTTCCCTCCCCTCGAAGCTGGGTGGACCCTTTAATGGCAGAGTCACTAGAATATTGCCAAAGGGAGGCAGTGTGACTTCGAGGCTGGGTCGTCCAATGCAGTAAAGCTGCTTCTCTCTCTATGTTTCTCTCTCTCTCTCCTTCTCTCTCTCTGGGCACGTGTTTCAGTAACCCCGAGAAGCCCGGGTGCAGAAGAGGACACAAGGAGAGACCACACAGGGACAAGAGAGATCTGCCAGAGGAGCCCCAGCTGTTCAGCCCCAGCTGTTTGGTCTTCCAGCTGGGGCCTTAGAAATTACAGGACAGACATAAGTCATCCCCCGTGCTCTGTCTTAATTCTTAACCCACAGCATCTGTGAGCGTAACAGATGGGTGTCGAATGCTGCTAAGTTTTGGGGTGATTCATGACACAGCACAGTAGCTGCGACACTGTATCATCCCCTCGCTGCTGTAGGTGAGAAGACCGAGGGCTTATGAGCAGTTGAGCTGGCCCCGGGACCCCACTCTTGCAGCCCAGCCGTCCTCCAGAGCCCCAGGCCTCTCCCGATGCTGGCTTTAACTGACAGGCTGGGGCTGAAGACAAGACAACGGTGGATCCCATTCCAGGTCACTCGAGGTGGGGGACATCTTTGGTTCCATTTATCCATCAGCGAGACAGGAATGCAGGGTTTGGGGGCTATCTGGGCTTTAGTGGACGGAGAGCGGCACTTAGACTTCGGGGTTTCTGGTCCAGGGCAACTTCCAATTACTGTTCTGAGACTAGTGACCTCATGAGCCTCGGCCAGTGCTGGGACCCCGAAAGCTGCCCGCCCAGTCCTGCAAACCTGCCGGGGGCCAGCTCGCAAGGCGTCCTGGTCTCATCATAGCTGTAACGCAGGAGTTAATGGATCCAAGGGGCATATCGGAGAGTGTAGCCAAGAGGTCACAGGAGCAGGGAAAACTGAAGAAACCACAGCATCGCTTCTATTTCATTAGTCGCCTTGTAAAAAACATCATTGCTATCCACTCATCTTGGCCATTAAACCCCTTCCAACAGCCTCCCTGAGACCAACTAATCACCTTGTGGTGTGGCAATCCTGACTTGGTCTTGCCAGTGGATGTTCTCATCAGAGCCGAGTTCAGGGGTGACCGGCACTTCCCGTTTGGAGGGCCACAGCCTGTCAGTGGGTCTGGATGACAAGCTGGTGGGTGTCCCTTCTCTGAGACAAACAGTGAAATCCCGGTTTGGGCTTGGGGGTTGTTGACAAGGACACTTTCCATGGCAACACTGGTATCCTGATTCCGAGTGTCAATCGTGGGATTGGTGGGAACCAGACACCATGGGCAGACTTCGCAGACCTCGCAGCCATTGAGAGCTCTGTGGCAATGAATCCTGTGGCACAGGTTTCTGGAGAAACCCCCTTTCCTAAGTCCATTGTGGACCCCAGTCGTGAAGTAGGTGACAAGAGGATGCTAGGATATGCAGAGTGGTGATGTAATTCTGGCAACTGCAGGCACATTGGTGCCTTGTAGGTAGCCATGACCTTGTTTGTGTGGTTATAGTAATGTTGTCACTTCTGGAGTCCGTGATGCCTGTGACTTATGTTGATTGTGACGTTGGGCTGTTTGGAAGTCCCGGTGTTGTTTGGATGTGCAGTCACTGTAATGTTGGGTTTTGTGGCAGCTGTGATGTGTCCTAACACCGGTGGGCTCTGATGACATTTCTTGGGAAATGCTATGCTGTTATACTCTGGGTTAGCAGCGTTAGGGCAGCCATCCCAGTTCTTCTGTTCTTGACTATTCTGCCCACTGCTGCTCAGACATTAAGGTTCATTCCAATTGTTTGGGGATCTAGTTAAGTTGTAGGTTCTAACTCAGCAGGTCCCGTGTAGGGTGGCAGATTCTGCATTGCCACCAAGCTCCTGGTGAAGCCAAGGCTGTTTGTTGGTTTATGGCCCCCCCTCTTCGAAGCAAGGCTTGTCTAGACCAGTGCCACCCAACAGAACTCTCTGCAATGATAGAAACATTCCATTTCTGCACTGTGCAATATGGCAGCCGCTTGCCATGTGGGGCTGATGAGCACTGAGGAATTGACTTTCAAGTTTTTTTACTTTTTACTAATTTGAATTTAAATAGCTCACACATAGTGGCCATCGTATTGGATAGTACAGTTCTAGACTACCCCAGTGGTTCTCAAACTGGAGTGTGTATCAGAGTGACCCTGAAGGCGATTGCTAAAACACAGAGTCTTGGGCTCCATCCTCAGCATGCCACCTGGTAATCTCCTCATCCCTGAACACCCCTGAGTACTGGCTCCAGCAGGACAAAACCATGTTTGATCGGCACTTACCTCTAACAATGGGATATGGGCTGGAGTCCATAGAGAAAGCCTGCCTGGAAGGTTCAGGAGGGAGGATTATTTGGAAACAAAGTAGAGGGAGTGCTGATTTATGGCTGGTCTCTGTAAACTCACAGACACAAAGGATCCCAGCAGGAAAGGGCTTTGGAGACCATCTGATCTGCATTCCCAGTTTACAAACTGGGAACCTGAGGCTCAGACAAGAGCAGTCGACTGTGAATGGTACCACCTACCCCCAGCGTAGAACTTGGGTTTGCAGATTCCGAGCCCAGGGTGGGCGGGCGCCTCCGCTCCACTCTGCCTCTGTGCTGGAGCTGGCGGGGGAGGGGGACAAGAGCTGAGGCTCAGACTTTGTCACACGCAAAGAGCAAGGACCCTCTTCAGGGATGAGACAGGACCTCTGATCCCAACTCTCCACCAGAAAAGAGGAGGCTTCCCTGGAGGCCATCCTGGCTCCAGAGGTTACAGTCCCATGATTTTTCTCCTTCTTTCCTACCTCTTGTGGGTGATCTGATTGATATTTAGCAGTTCTGGTTACAAAAGAAAAAAACCCAAAAAATAAAGATGTGGGAGAAGATGGAAACCATTGACAGAAATGCTTTTTGGAGGGCCTTACGTACATGTCTCAGTAATCCATAATGTCCCTGTTCCCTGTGCTGATCACTCGAGGACAGGCATACCATGGCGACATAAAATTGCTGCCATTTATCAAACACCTGCTGCGTACCAGACACGGGATCAAGTCCTTTATATTCCCGAGCTCGTTAAAACTTCACAAAAAGCCTACGAGGTAGATGTTATTATTATGACTTTTTTTTTTTTCTTTTTTTTTAGACAGGGAAACGAAAGCCTGGAGTGATTAAACAAGCAGCTGAGGTCACGCAGCTGGTGAATGAAAGGATGCACGCCTCAGTACAGTCTGCCTGATGCCAAATTCTGGGGTTTTTTCCTTGTGCCAAGAGGGTGTAACCTGGGAGGTGCCGGGAGCTTCCCACCCCGATTTTGTGGGGCTGGTGCTTCTCTGCAGTGCTGCTGAGCACCCAGGGAGGAAGGCAAGACACCCGAAGACTGAAACTCAGCCTGGCCCTGAGCCAATGAGCCAGGTGTGGTGCATGGTGGAAGGATTTGGTTGTAAGTAACAGAAACCTGAATTAAAAGAAAAACAACAGTTAAGGAGTCATGCCCCAGGAAAGTTCAAGGGAGAAGAACATGGTCTTCAGGTACAGTTGGATCCAGGCTTTCACTGACTAGTCATCAGGAATTTCTTTTTCTTTTCCTGGTTCTTTTCCTCTGAGTGGTTTTCATTCTCTGGCAGACTCTCCCTGTGTGTTGGCAAGGATGGCCTCCAACAGCTATGGGCCTACATTGTCCTTAACACGTTAACTGCCATGAGAGTTCTATTTAACTCACTCTAGTTTTAACCCTGGGGCCATGTGAAGTAGATATAAAATGTTAGTTGTTGATGTTCTTATTGCTACAATTAATATTGACAGTTTAATTCTGAAAACATGAATTAAATGAATAGAAGTCAATACATTTTGTTTTTCTATTTATGACTACCTTTAAGTTACACTCAAAGTTTTTATTCTATTTTCACAATAAAACATTGTGGCCTCAAGGAAAAGTTTCTGGTGTGTGTGTGTGTGTGTGTGTGTGTGTGTGTGGTAGTCAATGGTTAAAGCTGGGGGATCCCCGTTAAAGGGAGCATCTTTCCTCCTCTAATGGCTCTGCCAAAGTCCCAGGGATGACTCCCATTGGTTCAGTTTGGTCATGTGACCCTCTGCCAACCAATCACTGCAGCAAGGGGGATGGCGTAGTCTAATTAGACAGACTTGAGTCTCATAACTACTCCTGACGATGGGGATGGGCTCTGTCCCATCTGGATATTTCTTTGAAAGTAGGATACATTCTATTATCAGAAGATAGCATAATTTTAAAAAAAGACCCTAGATCTACTACCATCTGCTAAGCTGGTCTACACAGTAAGTTGCAGACACCTTCCCTGCTGGTGAAGTGGTCTGAAATTAGGCTGTTCTGTGCATTGTGCTAATTCTGGATTGTTTCTTGAACATATGCTCCCCATTTACCCCTCGTTATGGACTGCATGTTTGTGATCCCCCAAATTTCCCCTCAAAGCCCTAACTCCTGGTATTTGGAGGTGGGGCCTTTGGGAGGTAATTAGGTTTAGATGAGGCCATGAGGGTGGGGCCCCCATTGTGGGATTAGTGTCCTTATAAAAGAGGGAGAGGCCAGAGCCCTCTCTGTCTCTGCCGTGTGAGGATATAGTCAGAAGGTGGCTGTCTGCAAGTCAGGAAGAGAGCCCTCACCTGAACCCAACCATGCTGGCTGGCATCCTAATCTTGAACTTCCCAGCCTCAAGAGCTGTAGGAAATAAATGTCTGTTGTTTTAGCCATCCAGTCCAGTAATTTACAAATTGTGCAGTCTTTGATACTTTGTTGTGGCAACCTGAGCTGACTAAGACAGGCCCCCTAACTACATTGTGCCTCCTCTGGGTGTCAACAGTAGCCTCACCCCATGGAGTCTGAGGTCACCTCAACCCATGGGGCTGGTCCCATGGGCAGCTGGCTCCTGGCAGCGTGGAGGGCGTCCTAACCACCTGGCTTACTGGCTTCTCCTTGAGGCACCCTCAGTGGCTCTCTCTTACCCTGCAGCCCTCCCAGGTGCCCACTATCCCCTGCATCTGTCTAGGAAGCGAGACCACTTCCAGCCACATACTATCAGGGAGAAGCTCATTTAAGAAACTTGACCTTCACATTTCTAAGTGCCTGGGTAATATCGGGTTTGTTGAATATGTCTCTGTGTTGTTCAGAAGCAGGAAGTGGCTGCCCTGCCCTGGGAGATCCGGAACTTGGCAATCCATTCATCTGTTCATTTGTTTGCTTGTTTTCCCAAGCAGGGATTATCCCTGGGCCCCACCAGCCTGCCAGATGGCATGGCCCCACTGGGGACCAGCCAGACTTCGTGACGATCTTTTGGATCCTAGCTCTCGGGCTGCTCCGCTACTGGGACAGAGCTCTGTTGCGAGGTTCCTGAACCCTGGGCCGGCCCTGATCCCCACCGACACCCTGACTTTCTCCTTTCTCCCCTCTGATCAGCGTGGCCTCGGTCCCGTGTGCCCTGCTGACAAACTGCCCTGATTTATGGTAGGGTTCATTAGCCCCTGGGAGATGCAGAAGGAGTAAGACTTACCCAGGGAAAGACTGGAGAGATAGCATAGCAGGCTCTTGGCTTGGCAGTCTCTGTAGGAAGAAAGGAAGAGGTAGGAGAACATCAGGCGAGCTAGGATGGGAGAAGAGGTGACTTGGGAATCTTAAAAATATGTGTATTGTATGTATTTAAGCATTTTTACCAAAGGAAGAGGCCTTCAGTAAATGCACCTACACCTCCAGCACTTTGCCTCTCCCCAGGTGGGCAGATGGACGTGCTTGGGTGTCTTCGCCCAGTTGTGTAAAACATCTCTGTGCTGGGCATGACGCCGCACGCGTTTCGCCCTGTTGGTTTTAGTTCTCATCGCCACTGTATCCAGACGGTCTGAGCAGCCACTCAAGTGCCGGAGGTGAGGTTTGAAGTCAGGTCTGCCTGATTCCCAAGACAAAGACATCGTTTTTGCAAACACCGTGGCGGAGGAAGCTCTCCAATGACCCGGGACAAGGAAGGCTTGGGGAGCTGAGTCAGCCACTGGGTGCGACAGGTGAAGGAAGTGCTTGGGCACAGAGGACAGGTGACATGGGACCCTCGTGATGGGTGCTGCCACAGCGGGTGGGCTCCCAAGGAGGTGAGGGGTAGGCGCTCCCGCCTGGGGTTGGGAGATTTGATTTGATACAACGGGTCTAGAGAGTCCAGGAAGGTTCTTGAAAAGTGAGTGTTGGGTCGGAAATGCCATTTGAGAAAGATTATTTGCCATTTGCCGTGGGGTGCAAGGTGGTGCTCAAGGAAAGGAGGGCGGGGAGATGTGTTGAGAGGAAATTCTGTGTGCTGCATTGATTCTTGTGCACATCGTCCTTGCTGACCACGGGACAGGGAGAGAGCTTCGTCCTCAGCCTCCCTCCTGCTGGTCCCCGCAGAGGCCTGGCAGCCCCACAGGCAGCGCGCCCCCCTCTCCCTCCCCCCCAGGGTCCCACAGCTGCTTTGATTTCTCCTGCAGGGCTGGGGAAAAGTCCCTCCAGGCCTGGCTACCACTTCTGCACGAGTATTTATGAGCTGTGAGACTTCAGATCATAAGGCTCCCATATTTTGCTTTTGAAAAAAGCCAATAACTTAAGAAAATGTTTTCTCCATAAGAGAAACTTCAAAGATCCGAGAACATAGCACACTAAAAATTATTGAAAGGCGGCATCGAACACATCTTGAATACGGTCATGAAAGAATGTGCCGAAGCCAGGCAGACCCCCGCGCGGGTTAAGGATGCCTTTGTTTCTCCTCGTCATTGCGATCAAGTGGAGGGGCTGGAGCCGCTAAGTATTTGGCTGTGGCCATCTGTGGGGCAGGCTTGTCACCCGGCCACTGTTTCATCCAGAGGAGAAAGCTTACAGCGGCAGGGACTATTGTAAACATCTCCTCACTTGAAAAAATAAAAATCTCCCTGCTGCCGAGGGCAAAGTGGCCTGGCAATCCTCTGTCCCGCGCACAGGGAGCTATTTAGGGTAATTATGCTGCAATGCGGAGAGCTGACATCCCAAGAGCCTGGGCCTACAGTTCCTAGCTGGGTTGAGTTTGGCCAAGGTATTTGAAACTGCCGAGCCTCAGTTTTGTCATCCATTCATTGGGATGATAATTTGCCCAGTCTGCTTCATGGTTGAGAAGATCAAATGAGATTATGTTTAAGAGAGAGAGAGAGAGAGAGAGAGAGAGAGAGAGAGAGAGAGTGTACCTATATTCCTGCTTTAAAGAGAGGGGATTTCTGCTTTCCCTACGTATTTACTCCCTCCCAAGAAAGAGGAGGGCTTTGTCTCCTGGGTCAGCGCTTGGCAGCCGTGGGTGGAGGTTTACCTGCAAGGCCGAGAGTGCTGAGTGGGCACTCTCTGCTCCAGCCACTCCCCCCAGCCTGATGGACCCAGTGGCCCTAGTTGACACCGTCATGCAGCCGGCTGTGGGCAGCCTTGGATGTGTGGTCTGGAGGCCACACAGCGCATCCACGGGCAAGCCTCATTGTGACGGTCCCCAGCGGAAAGGCAGAAGCCTCCACTCTGCCCCCGTGTTACGGAGGGGACTGGGCATTTGCCCAGCGTGAATCCCGCAGCTATTTCCGTCTCCCAATAGGCTGGTGATCTCTGGGTGGGGAAGACCAGTGAGTCTTCAGCCAGGAAAATGCTACAAGGATAGCGCATGTTTTTCAGAGATTATTATTGGATCAATATTGAAGACCGACTCCTGGCGAGATCGAGAACATCGCAAAGTGTGTCACTGAGCTTGTGGCCGCCTCTTCCTGCACTCACAGTTTCTACCTTGCTCCACTGCATTGAAACTCTATTTTCCAGAAAGACCCCGATACCAGTCATCTATACTTTAAAGAAAATGTGGGCTCAGGCATTGTCTGTCCCCAGTGGATTTGCATTTGAAGCTCAATGCTTATTATGGAGAGAAAGCTTCAATCATCTGTTAGAAAGATTTTAGTGAGAAGGGACTACAGGGAGGGATTCTCTGATGCCTCTGATATTTTGCCCCCTAAATTGCCCTCTCTGCTTCTTAAATGGAAAACCAACCCAGTCTACTGGCCCTAAGAACACAGGGGCCTGATCCTGACGCTCCTTTTGGGACCCACTTAAAGCCCTTTTAAAGACCTGTCTCTGCTCTTAATTTTAAGGAAGGGGCAACAGCTGGCAGTTGCAGAGTCTCTCGAAGTGAGTCTTTAGAGAATCATTCATGTGACCCACTGACCTCCAAACATGAATGTCATGGCTGCACAAAAGCCCCTAAATGGTTGAACAGTGAAAAAAAGAAAAAGGTATAATTAGTTTATCCATCATTATTCCTTCAAGGAAAATGGAGCACAGACCTTGTTGAAACAACCAGTTTAACAGAAATACCCTGCATTTACTGTGCCTGCCCCTGTTACGTCCATTCTTTGAAGTGGGTACTATGATCATATTCATTTTTCAGATAAAGAGACTAAGAGGTTAGAAAGATAAGTCACTTGCCCAAGCTCACTCTGTTTGTAAGAAGTCAGAGGTGGGTACAGATTCAGGTCTGTCTGATGCTAAAAACTGCGCTTTTGAGCAGCCATCAATGGGATTCTTCTCCAGATTTGCTGATGTGCCAGTTAAGAAGAGGTTTATCTGAGCGTGAATGAACTGCAGTGGCTTAACCAAGCAAGAGTTTGTTTTCCCCACATAAGCAGAAGTTCATAGGAGAGATATCCAGGGCTGGTTCAGGGCCTTCTCTCATTCTGTTCCATCATCCTTAG